CAGTAATATTTATATAACTTGTTTTTATGACAAACGGTCTGAACATAAAGCATCCAAATATTAATTAAGAGTTAAATTTTACATGAATGTATAACTCTCAAAGTAGGAATACCACATATACAAACAATTGTCAAGAGCAGTGTCACTTCTTAACAAGATGTGAAAAATTATCTTCCCTGAGAAAACCATAAATTTACACATTTTCTCTCTACCTAACAAAATAACTTATCCAAATGAAAACACAGTAATCTAAATGTATTGTAAATGTGTCTAGTTTCTAGAATACAATTTATAGCAGGAGCAAACCTAAATTAAATCAAACTTAATTTGTTATAGAAAGATAGATATTCACAAGAGACAAACATATTACAATATCACAAACTGTACAAGACCTTTCGTGTCTTGATAAGGAAAAGCCACTCAAATAAATTGATACATTTATATTAACAGACTGCTTCCCAAACAGTCATAAATATATATATACGCTATGGAAAACAAGAATAGATACATCCCAATATAACTTGGATAAAGCTTAAACATGGCCTTACTGTGTGGAAAAGTGCAAAAGTCTATTTTAGCTCTTTGAGACATTGACCTTGACCTTATGGACCTGAAAGGGTACATGTCTTGGTAGAAAGGTTCCAACAAATTAATAATTCAAAATAATGATGCATCACCAAAACTTATAACAACAGAACTTCATACAAGATTTAGTAGGATAAAAAATCAAGAAAGAAAGTCATCTAATTTAGTGTGCATCAAGTGGTTCTTGCCACAACTTTCAAAAAATAGAAACATATTTTCTATCAGAAAGTAGTGCTATGGTACAGACAGTTTATTTGTCTACTCCTAAATCAATAAGTAGTAATTGAAACAGGAGCTCAATTCTCAATTAGTTTTGTACAGCATGATAATGGGCCTTGTCTGTCTAATTCACACAATGTCAATCAATGACAATTATCCCATCAAGTTATTCCTTACAACCAGTTTGACATCATTTTAACACTTACAACAACTTGCAGTTCACAACAATCTGAAGTATCTATTTTATGATGAAAATGAAATATAACTATAAACATCTACTTGTACCAGATGGTTGAGTGAGGCTTTCTTTTAGAAATATCAGTAACAAGGGACTCAGAAGCTATGTACCTCCTTGAATACTTAATAGTTTGTATACCCAAGGTGAGATGAGCACAGAACACAATGGCTAACTTACACTTTGATCATTGTATTAATATTCAACTTCACTACATCACATACATTATAAAACAGAATGAAAGCATTCAAGAGGCTGTCTTGCATGTTGTGTTCAGGCTGTTCTTTACATAAATAACTGCATCTTACTGCACAGTGCTTACAAAATTGAAAGACGTATGTTTCTATAAATAGAACTTCAACAACATCCAAACTCAGAATTAATTTCAGATATTCTGAATTCTTGAAATTGAGTGCAGTGGTTTTTATGACACAAAATACCTTGAAATTTAAGTCCAATTATAATACCAGGCCATCTAAAGTAAGTCTTTGGCCTACAGACTAGGAATCAATGAAGAATTCCCATCTATAAAAATCTTCCTGTCACGACTGGTCGAAACAAATTGAAATATGCAGCTGAGATATATGTATGATTTATTAGTAATGTCTGTTAAATGTTTTATCACTTGCTACCAGACAATTTGTTAGATGATACAAATGTTGTTGAACACATCATATAAATAATGTTCATTGGACACTTCTATTTGGTGTTATATATTAGATAGACCTACCAAAACCAAAATGCTTGCTGGTGTTTATTTCTTAAGCATAATCATTAATCATGAAAAACATTTTTGTTCTTATGTCAAGTCTTTTGGGTATCTATTAATGCAAGAAATTAAAGCCTTGTATCACTCTTCTATAGCATTAAAATATGTGCTGAGGAAACTCACTTTATTTCTCACTTTTAATAAACAGTCCAAATAAGACTTTCTCATTTCAAGCATTTACAGTGTGACAAAACCTGGAACATTTCTGTGAAATAGTTAATGTTCATTCTTACATGTACATGATCATACCCACATACAAAAGCATGCTATCCGAAATTGTATCATTATAAAGATAATGGTACTGGAAATGAATGGCTTATTATACTTCTGATCTTTAATGTCACCGAGAGTTAGAGAGGTGGAACAATAAATAACATGATTAGTTGTCAACCATTTATCCATGAAACAATCACCAGTAGAACCCCTGGAGAAAAATAATTAACACCAATAATACAAGATATTGACCATGTGCTAATGAACAATCAATAGCAGGGAATGCGAAATAGAATGTGGTTATAGAACAATTCTATTATCTGTGCCACCATGGGGAAAAATGACAAATATTACATGCTATATCTTTCAGAAACACATATTCACCCACCTCCAACAACAGAAATTAAGTTTCCAGGAATCAATAACCTTGCATGTAGGATTCTAAACTGCATCAGGAACAAGATCTCAATTGATGTGCCCAGATAAAAAACTTGTCAATCAAAAAAAGAAGAAAGAAATAGTAAACCTCCCTTCATAACTTGTCACATCTTCTTCTATATTTTTACACAAATATAGACAAGAGCATTTAACCAAATCAAATCTCATAGCAAGCAATATAAATGTAAGCATATTTTTAATTTAAGCATGAGTTCATCACTGAGCAACCAGTACAAGCAGTATGATAATTACTTAATTAATGACATTAATTTGTCCTATAATAAAGTTACCTCAAGAGTGTTTTAGATTTTGCGTCAACAATAAGTAATTTTATTTTTTATCATGTCACTGTACTGAACTTAATCATGTCACTGTATTGAATTTATCATGTCACTGTATTAAGCTTAATCATGTCACTGTATTGAACTTTATCATTTCACTGTATTGAACTTCATCATGTCACTGTATTGAGCTCATGTCACTGTATTGAACTTTATCATGTCACTGTATTGAACTACATCATGTCACTGTATTGAGCTTTATCATGTCACTGTATTGAACTTCATCATGTCACTGTATTGAGCTCATGTCACTGTATTGAACTTTATCATGTCACTGTATTGAACTTTATCATGTCACTGTATTGAACTTTATCATGTCACAGTATTGAACTTTATCATGTCACTGTATTGCATCAGTAATAAAATACAGCATAATCATTGTCATTCACCAAAAAGCCACACACATACTGTAAATGTACTGCTTCCACAGTTTAAAATTTGCAAACAACTTGGTATTTTAGACAAACTTGTTTTCTTAATTTGGATGTGGCAAAGGTTTCAATAAGATAAAAATCATGATGATGCATAACAATAGAGGAGAACATTTTCCCCCCATTAAGAGGCTGAAATATCTCATTAACAATAGAAGACTTGTCCATTACTTTTATCTTCAAAATTCATCCATCATTAAGTCTCCTATTAAACATTTTATTCTTGGAAGCAACCACAAAAACTTTTCACCATCAATTATATTATGCATTCTAGAGAACAAAATCTGTGTATTGTAGTGGTTATGATGAGTCAAATCATCTTTACTTCTTTTTTACATTCAGGAAAAGTTGCAGAATAGTTTGCTATATATATCAACAAATCAGATTTCTCAGTACTTCTAAAAATTTGCAAAAGTTTTTTTTTATAATATTATCCCTAATATATTCCTTTATTGTATTTGCCTGCCAAACATGTTAAGTTATGCTTGTTTGGTGTATGTGCAATTAATTTTACAACTTTTACACAAAGCAGTCATTTCAGTAAATTGTTTAAATAGGACAACAACCTATTTTCCTCCCATTCTATTTCAAATCTTAACATTTCTTGCAACAAAATCTAGACAATTTCATGCATAAAGACATGTTTCATGAATAGATTGCTTGTGTTTCTCATTTCCTCCCTTTAAGGTTAACACAATATCCTCAATTCTATAAAAATGGAAAATTACATTCCCAGCATCATTCCTGATTGGTTTCTATCAGCAGGGAATCAAATCATGGCATTTATACAGAATTAATGGTTACAATATAGTTTTCTGTAAGACATATAATTCGACCAAGTAGGGGGGTTTGGTACAGTTTTCAGAGAATTGTTTTTGATGTTCCTTAATCAAATTTTCTCAATCAATCAGAGTTAATAAGGTGCTGAGTAAAACATTTAACATTGGACAGTACAACTACATTAACTCTCACAGAATATTATAATGAGGCTTCCATGGTTTGCACTTATTTCTAGAAAAGTACCTCATGCATATTTCTCTCTTCATCTAGACCATTGCTCTCTCTTTTGTAATCTAATATGATTAATTCACATTGTTTTCTTTTTTGTATTTCTTCTGACATTAAATGGATATGAAATCATTTCTGGTTTCTTAGGTAACATCAGCAAACAGAGCAAAAAAGTGAATATGCATTTGTTATATAAAGACATTCACAGTAACAGAATCATATCAGGTTCATTCTCTGATAATCCTCCTATAGTAAAAACAATAAAGTATAGGTTATCTAATTCAACAAAATTTATAGCCCTGATGGCTCAACTCCCTACATAGACTTCAAAATTGTTAAAAGACTTAATTAGCAAAGCTGAAATGTCTGAAAGTGAGTCCATATGACTATGGCCATTTAATATCCAATGTGACAGTTGTTTGTGCCAATACAACAACGACAAAATTCATGACATATCAGCCTATCCCATATATGACTGATATATCACTTACCGGTATATATATATATAAAAAAAAACAATAAAAAAGATACCTACGTCATTTGTTATCAATTTTTTCTGAAGCATATTAAATGTCAAAAGCTAATGAAAACCATTTGTTTTTATTGAACAGATTATAATTATGATATATTATATACAAATCATCAACAATTGTAATCACATTTTTCATCAATCTAAGTTACTTGTTTTCCATCTAGTTAATGTAAAAAGAAGATATTTATTACAATATTTTATTTTAGTAATGATACCTAAGCATACATACCTGTCAATAACATAAAAATTGTCACCATCATCACCTTGATCTATAACATGTTCTCCTGGTGTCACCTGTAAACAAAAACAAACAGTTCATTTTCACGCTAAAAAACAAGTAAACAAAATATACTAACAAACTTTGCAGAGTTGATAGGACCAAAATGCTAGGACTGACCCTTCTTTGCAATATGTTTTTCTCTTATATTGATTTAGTATAGGTACCTATGTCAGAAATAGATCTTTGGAAAGGTCAAAGGTCCCTTTGGGTTTAGAGGTTAAGTCAATGTGATCTCTTCCCATTATTCCTTCAGTTATTTCAATAACAATTACCCTGTCTTCTTTCCAGTAAACATCTTAGTTTTTTGTAAAAAGCACAGAATAATGACCTGTCACTAAATAATCAAGGACTTTTATTGGATTGTTTGAATAAAGGCCAAGAAAGTGAAGATTTTGTTGTCTCTCCATCATTATTTGAGCCGCGCCATGACAAAACCAACATAGAGTGTTTGCGACTTGCATGGATCCAGACCAGCCTGCGCATCCACGCAGTCTGATCAGGATCCATGCTGTTTGCTATCAGTATCTCTACTTGTAACAGGGTCTGTAAGCGAACAGCATGGATCCTGATCAGACTGCGCGGATGCGCAGGCTGGTCTGTATCCATGCTGGTCGCAAACGCACTATGTTGGTTTTGTCATGATGCGGCTCATTTATTAGTTTTGTCTGGGTAAATAATAAAACTATTGCTTTTTTAGTAGAATAAACTTTCATTTTCTATCAACGATCATTACAAACAAGATTAAATATGGAAAATATATTCAATTAATCCCAAAATTTCCTAGAGAAATGTTTATCAAAATGCAGTTGAATACTGTATATTTCCCAAGGAGATTTGCAGGATCAATATTTTTTGCCTGTCTTGAAAAAGAGGGTAGATCAGAAAGTTAAGCAAAAAGATTTTGTAACATTATTTTAAGAGAGAGAAACCATGAACATTGTAATGCATGACCTTTCCGGTTTTTCGTAGCGGAACATTTAGCCACACCTTTTCCATTCATTGCTAGGTCAACTGCTTACAAACAGTATCACAAACATAAGCACGTGTTCTTTTGTGCAAACCAGGTCAACCAGTGACTATGTATTATCTCAGTGTAGCGATTGGATAACAAGTTAGCCTATTTACATAAAACTGTAAACACCGGAAAGGTCCATTGTAATTTGAAGCTCACTTTACATTTTTTATTAGAAAAGCAGTTCTTACATAAGTGATGCGCCTCAGTGAAATTCTTAGAGAGAATTCTGTATTTCTGTTTTATAATTCTAAATAGCAAGAATAAAAAGCATGAAAAAAATAAAACCTTCACGTTAAGCAAGACCTCATGAACAAAAAACCATGTGTTCTAACTGACAAGATAGAAAAATCCGTAAATGTTACTAAATGTTACTAAAAAAGCGGTGCTAGAAAATCTTATTTCACATGGGTTTATGTGCCATACTTCTTTATGTATTCCTACGCGACATTCACTCCTCTTTGAACGACAATCAAACTTAATTAGGGCCAAAAGTATTGAAACATAAGCTAGTCTATTAGATTGTCCACAGGATCGAAAGAAATTAATAATAACTTTCACGCTTTGATAAGTCCAACGCTATGTAGTTCAGACTTTCTCCTTATAGACCTAACAAAAATAGCACACTTTAAAATTTGCTGAATTCCTCAATAACACTTATATTATGACATTTTGCATGGTAAACTTTCATGTTTTTGTAATGATAACGATACTTCTTGATAACAAACCGCTTTTGAATTGATTTTGATTGAATATTTGGTCGAATTAACTGGAGTAGTTCATTGAAATAAAATCTTTGCAAACAGGGAAAGAAATGTTGACTAGTGAAGTATGGACTGATTTTTTCATAAACAGTTATACTAATGTTTTGATATTTTCCACGTTTTTTTAATAACCCTACTTCTCGATGATGAATTAACTTATTTTCATTTTGTCAAATTAACTGTATCAGTATGTCAAACTAACTGTATCAGTAGAAAATCTTGGCATATGTAAAATGCTTTTTATCAACTATGGAAGTCAAACACTAAGTTCTGCCTTGTTTCTCCAACAAGGTTATAATGCACATTAGAAATTTTTGAAGAGACGATCTTACTTAGTTTCTTATGTGCCAAGTTGAGTGAGAAAAATAATCAATAATTGGGTTGGATAGAGAACCCTCTGGCAATAAGTTTCATCGGGCAATCAGTTCCATCGTGTTTGGATTTCCTCAGGCAATCAGTTCCATCGTGTTGGGATTTCCTCAGGCAATCAGTTCCATCATGTTGGGATTTCCTCGGGCAATCAGTTCCATCAAGGTTGGGATTTCCTTGGGCAATCAGTTCCATCATGTTGGGATTTCCTCGGGCAATCAGTTCCATCATGTTGGGATTTCCTCGGGCAATCAGTTCCATCATGTTGGAATTTCCTTGGGCAATCAGTTCAATCATGTTGGGATTTCCTTGGGCAATCAGTTCCATCATGTTGGGATTTCCTTGGGCAATCACTTCCATCATGTTGGGATTTCCTTGGGCAATCACTTCCATCATGTTGGGATTTCCTTGGGCAATCACTTCCATCGTGTTGGGATTTCCTTTGGCAATCAGTTCCATCATGATGGGATTTCCTTGGGCAACCAGTTCCATCATGTTGGAATTTCCTTGGGCAATCACTTCCATCATGTTGGGATTTCCTTGGGCAATCACTTCCATCATGTTGGGATTTCCTTGGGCAATCAGTTCCATCATGTTGGGATTTCCTCGGGCAATCAGTTCCATCATGTTGGGATTTCCTTGGGCAATCACTTCCATCATGTTAGGATTTCCTTGGGCAATCACCTCCATCATGTTGGGATTTCCTTGGGCAATGACTTCCATCGTGTTGGGATTTCCTTTGGCAATCACTTCCATCATGATGGGATTTCCTTGGGCAACCAGTTCCATCATGTTGGAATTTCCTTGGCAATCACTTCCATCATGTTGGGATTTCCTCGGGCAATCACTTCCATCATGTTGGGATTTCCTTGGGCAATCAGTTCCATCATGTTGGGATTTCCTTGGGCAATCACTTCCATTGTGTTGGGATTTCCTATGGCAATCACTTCCATCATGTTGGGATTTCCTCGGGCAATCACTTCCATCATGTTGGAATTTCCTTGGGCAATCAGTTCCATCATGTTGGGATTTCCTTGGGCAATCAGTTTCAATCATGTTGGGATTTCCTTGGGCAATCACTTCCATCATGTTGGGATTTCCTTGGGCAATCACTTCCATCATGTTGGGATTTCCTTGGGCAATCACTGCCATTGTGTTGGGATTTCCTAGGGCAATCACTTCCATCATGTTGGGATTTCCTTGGGCAATCACTTCCATCATGTTGGAATTTCCTTGGGCAATCACTTCCATCGTGTTGAGATTTCCTTTGGCAATCACTTCCATCATGATGGAACTTCCTTGGGCAACCAGTTCCATCATGTTGGAATTTCCTTGGGCAATCACTTCCATCATGTAGGGATATCCTTGGGCAATCACTTCCATCATGTTGGGATATCCTTGGGCAATCACTTCCATTATGTTGGGATTTCCTTATCTTTTATTTTACCCAGGGACAGTATCTATTAATCCTTAAATCAGACAATCAAACAATATATTAACATAGTCAGACTTCACAAATTAGACAAGAATTTAGTAAAGTAATAAATAAGGGGCCATGAAAAAACTCATCAAACATGACAAGAAATATATAATGCACTTCTTCAATTGCTATTAAAGAACCACCAGGGGTAAACAGGCTCCATGGACAACAGAACCAACCCTTCAAAGTGTCTGCATTCTTTGGAGACAATTTGATTTTAATATCAGTATCTTTCCTAAAATAAAATGTATTTGCATTATTTCTGACAATAAAGATAATTTACAATCATTATGACTGTATAAACTTGTTTGCTTTTGGGTTTAACATTATTTCAGGGAAATATTTCTGCTCTGTCATGCCAAATGTAAATTTAAGACAGAACTGTAAAGACATTTGTATAAAGTTTTCTGAATTTCTAAGAATATACTTAAAGTTATGGTGAGAATGAGTAGAAGAAACATACAAAAGAATCTCAGGTGCATTATTCTACATTATCTGTGGCATAAACAGGCACTTGAGTGGAACCACCAACCTTCCATATAAATCAGCTTAAATCTTCACCACATTAAAGAATTTGACCCAGCATGTGTGTAGAATACTTGTATACACTGTAACTTACAACCCTATACGGTTCAACAATATCTAACTTTAAAGTTTTCAACAATATTTTCTATTTCAATTATTTTCCTTATTATATTTTTGGTTAACTACCTTTTCCTTTTCATAACTGAATTAACAGATGTTGGTATGCTTTGTAATGATTTTAACAGCTTCAGAACAAAACTTACCTATGTCTTTATAGCTATAACAAAATATCATTATGTTTTGTCATTTTCAGAAACACATATGTTGCATATTTCTCTATGATCAGATGACAAAATGTGTGTCATACATCACATCTCATTAGACTTCATTGTTTCCTTCACCGATATTATACTTATTGACTTAACTGCCTAACACATTTCAATGTCCCTCACAAGACAACAGGAATTTGTACCTGCAGACTACATTATTTCCAAGGGAACTGATTTTTTTCCTGTATAACACCTGCCAATGTTATAAAACATAAGGACACATTTTCTCTTGAAGGTGTTTATACAATCAAGTATAATTTATATACATATGTCATAATTCAAATAAGTCTCTCACATTTTGTTTGTTTGTTTGTTTCATTTTACGCCTTTTCCCAACAGTATTTCATATAGGCGGGTAGTTTCCGAAGAGTTACACCAGTACTAGACTACCTTCCTCCGCACTTAACTACCAAAGCATCTCCAGGGGATCGAACCCACGCCAGAGAGGTGACTGGATTAAAAGTCATTGACTCTAACCCCTCAATCACGGAGACGGTCAAGTCTCTCACATAAAGACTTATTTTAGGTTTAACCAAAACCTTAACCCTATAAATAATGATAAACTTGGATGTTAGAAAAGGGATTTTTTAGAATTTCTAAAACTGTTACATAAAATAATAATACCCTGAAAATTAGGAATACATAATGGATGCATTCTTCTACATATATAAAACAACAAATTATAAAATTCATTACATCCCTTTAAAAGTAACATTCTTAACTGCCTTACAAATAAGTGTTCACTCTTCATTTTCTTATAAATTTGCAGCATTGCAATGACTGGGTCATATTAATTATTTGCACCACAAAACCTGCATAATGTGACATACAATAGATCAGATGTAAATTTAGGATAGGAGATAAAAATATACAATACAAACAATAAAAGGTATTTTAGTAATTTAAACTTGCATCTTATTTGCATCACATATCGGCAAGTCTGGATGGTTTAAATGCTTATTATATTACACTGTACATTTGCACTCAAGATTTTTTGCATGTAAAAGTATTTAGTATAAATTAGCCAATTTACCCTGCTGACTTTGTGCAATGGACACGACTTGTTTATAATAGTAGGACAGGGTGGCTGACTATTTGCAGTGCTTCATGTGACAAGAGCCTGGATAACATAGAATTTTTTAAGTTCAAAAAGGGCCATAATTCTGTCAAAATCAATGTTAGAGTTAAAGGCCTTGGATAGTGAGCTCCTATTATTCTCTTAAATATGTTTGAAGTTTCAACCCATTCCCTTCAGTAGTTTTGGAGATACCAACTCACATAAAAAACTTAACAGGAGTGTGATGCCAACACCAGAGTGAGTCTATTCTTTGAATACTCAAGCTCAAAATTGTCCAATACTCTTAGTATGATACATATTTTACTTAATCTAATGATCGCTAGCCACATGGGTTCAAACCCTGTCAGGGACAAGTTGTTGTTTTCATGAGCAAGAAACTTTACACTCATTGCTCAGTACTGGTTGATTCCAGGAACCGATTTGAAAGTGTATCTATAAGCTTATAGCTTAAAATATTTCACTTAAAAAAATGGCTTTTAATGCTCAAATGTGGCAACCAATATCATAGAATCTATTCAGTCTGGCTAACCTAGCTCTCTATATTAGTGGTAAAGACAGGACATTCTTTCAGCTTAGCATTTTAGTGCGGAAGCATACCTTTTTTTATTCACCATACATCTCACTGTAATCCTAGTTTTTGGCAGGTTGTTTAACAAAAACAACAAATGTCTACATAAAAACTACTTGAAGATTTAACTTTACCTTCTTTTCAAACATGGCATCTAATACACAGTTCATTTGTTCCTGAAAAGAAAGAATAAAACAGTTTATAAACATATTGCCAAAAAAATGTGGTTTTCAAAAAGTTGGCTTTCAATGTCAAGATTAACAGAATTAGCAGTTAAATCACTGCATTAAAGTGACAATAAAACAGTTATTTTATTTTCTATCAACAAACAAAAATTTATTGAACATCTATTTTCTGATAATTTTGATAAACTTATTAAGTTCATGGGGTTTAATACACAGGCTTAATTTTGATAAAAATCAGATTATCATTTCAGATATTTATTTTTTTCCTTCTCAATAGATTGAACTGTATATTCATATAAATATTTTGCTGCAATACAAAATACCTTTGATGGTATATATATATATGTATACATGTTTGTCACTTTATCTATTCAGTATTGGAGATGGCCACTTGACATATAAATGCATAAATTGCTAGACAAGAGAAAATTGACCAAATAAAATCAAAACATATAGATATGAATGCTTCATAATTAAAGAAAACACACACATGATAAAATGTCATCTATTATGTTTGTTTTCTTCACAAATGCAAACACTTTGTATCTCATAGCCAATGTCAAGCATTACAGTTGGGTTAAAGACCATGAATAATTCAGGCACATATGGCCAGTTGAAAACATATTAAATCCAGTTCAAACAATGTCCAAGAACAGTAACAAATAATATTTGAGCCCTTAGGGAACATAAACAAAAAAAAAAGATCTCTAAAATAATGGTTAAATCAGTTAAAACTATCTGAATACTTAAACCACAGAAAGAGTGTTTTACAAGTAACATAATGTTGTGAAAAATAGTATACTATGACCATAAAGAGGCAGGTCAGACTAACATTATACATGCAGCTATTCAAAGGTAATATATTGATATCAAATATTGTATTTAAGACTGCTTTGTATTTTTGAAGGTTTTCATTAGTTTCCTTAAATTGATACTGATTTACGCATTTGTTTTTTAAACCTAGTATAGTTCTATAGATAAGATTTGACGTAAAATGAACACATGTATGATGATCGTGAAAATATGATAGGGACAAATGTTTTGCCACCATTCAAAAGTCAATGTTATTATGATTTGTTGTATGATAAGTATGTCATATTGTCATAATATTTATATGTATTATACAGCAATTATTTATTGTACATACATTACTTGTACCACTATATAACCTGACACATTGATCATACATAGATCATACACTAATTCACTATAGACACCTGCACTCACCCTTCACCTTAATTATAGTTTATCTATATAATAAGTATAAGCTGGTACAGTATTGTACGTAAATACCAGACATAGGAATGTAAAACAAAAAGCTTTTTGTGCCCCTCATATACCTCAAAATACCAGTTATTACACTGTGAACTCTATAGTAGGAAGTAGGTAAAATTCTGACATCAAAACACAGAAGAAGTTCAAGGAAATAGTATATTTTAAACAATCATAAACATTCTAATTACTGGTTGGTAGCTAGTAACAGAAATATTTGATTCTTGTATTAAATTTAAAGTCTATGACATGAAAATAAAACATTTCTAAGAGCATTTTTTTTATAGAAATATTGTTTTGTAGTAAACAGGAAAATGGTGAGCTAGGATCTCAGTCCTTGTTTTTCGATGACTTGTTATTGAAATGCACAATATAAAAGTGTTAAAATCTATTGAGAGAGAAAATGGAAACTCTTATGTTTAACTTTTAACAAATTTCAAATATACTGATATGTCTTGCGTAGTGTAAGAGAAATAAACATGTACATATATCTTTTTTGTTCAAAAGACTCTTTAGTTCTTGTTGTTTTCATCTCACATTCATAAAGCAACAATTCAAATATCATTAATATAAAAACAGTAACAGTGACCTTTTCAAACATATACCATTTATAATCAATTTATAACAATCATGCACAAAAATGATACTGGCATAATTAAAATGTCTTCAAAATAGTTCACATAATCACTCAACTTTATTTTCATTTACTTTTCATAAGTTGTTTACCTTTAAAAAATGTATTAATCTGATTGGGGACTGATCGTTCAAGTTTATTTGGGTGATCAATCGATTACTTACTTAGTGTTTTTTTCACTGTGTGAGGAGATTATGATATAGTTTAACATAATGTATTGAAATGATCACAGCACTTGCCTTACATACAGAATGTTAATCTGGTTTAAAAGTTTCATTACATATAAGTCAAAGTCAATCTTATTACAATATTACATGTAATAAAAACCTTAAAAAAAGTAGTTCCGCCAATATAATTATATAAGCCTTTCATCAAAATTATACAATTTTTTCAAACATTTAAGGGCACAGACTATTTCCACATTTTGCTATTGCTAATTCCTAAGAGATAGAACAAGCTTCCTACATAACTCTTCCTATAACATACAGGCTCATGTACAAAAGAAAAATTCAAAATGACAGTAGAACAAGTAATTGTCAGGCCATAGTCACTTGACATTTGCTAAAAAAAAAGGCTAACTTCTTTCTTTTATTTCATGTCATGAACAAAGTAAGAAACATGTACAATCTTTTTTTTCACATACTGGGGCAGCAGCCCTTCCTCTGAGAAGGAAAAAAAGCCCTGATGTAATAAGCATTGAATTTTTTTGTTCTCTCCCTGCCCACATAACTGCATTATCATATCATAGATAGGGGCAGCTAAATTTTTTTCCAGAATCTACCTTATAAATATCACACAAACAAGTAAAGAGATGTTTCAGGTAAAATGGACAAGCAAGTCAAATCATATTTTGCAAGCCATGATAGACTTATGAATATTAAGTAAACAAATAAATATAATAGGTGTATAGACTTGTTCCATTATTTATAACACTAATAAAATCATTAAAATCCTATCAGGCCACTTGAATAGATAGACAACAATTAATACAGATTTCTGACTTGTAGTTTTATGATTTAATGATTATTGGATTTTAAGATAGTTTTCTTCACATTTTAATAAATTCTAGATATGAAAACCATAGTCTATATAGAAGTTATCATTTTTAATCCTTTGCATTAAAAACCTTTCAAGCATTTGATTAATTTCACACAAAATGTGAAAGAGCAAGAAAACTTAATTTTTTACTTTTATTTTTACACCATATGAATACCGGATGACTTTAGTTTATCAAAAGTGGCCTTTCCCATTATAATGTCACCGAGAAAGATTCATTCAACTTGGCTTATTTATCACACTTAATTCTATACATTGACTTTCTCTTTACCTTTTGAAGTTTAATTTTTCATTTAGTATTGATATCAATTTAGCTAAAAGCCTTATATTTTAATCTAATTTAAATGCCTTACTAGCCAAAAAAACACGAGACAAAAACTTCCCAAGATGGGTTAATACTTGGATACCAGTAAAAGGGTTTTAATGTTTTGACTGGAAGAAAACTTTTTTAATTTAAAATCTCAGATTGTGAGAAAGAACTTTTGTCTTAAAATTTATAGAACACAAATGGAACAGAGGCTACAGATATAATCTTTATAATGCAATGCTTAAGCTCACTATTTAAGTTTTTCTACATATACTTAATTCAGACAGTCTAACAGAAACCCTTCTACTTAAAAATCAAAAAGTCACATTTAATGTTTTATTTAATATATTCTACAAGAACTTGAAAATCCAGTATTTCTATGAGCAGTCAATACAGAGCCTCCTATATAAACTTATAGATGAATACAAGACTATTACTCTTCATTTCTCAACATGACAGTTTCTTACAAATTTAATGCATGCAAATTTATGCATTTTCTTCTTTCAACTTACAAATTAGCTAGATACAAAAGTAAAACTATTCTTCATAAACATAGTCCAAGTTTATTGATCTGTTCCTTCAAAATAAGCTTACAAATATCTTATTTAAGGTGAACTCAATTAATTTTCAGGCTTTGTCAAATCACATTTAATCCATCGTGAATTATTAAACGGACAAAATTTTGAAAATAGTTTTTGGTTAATACTTTATAGCTTACAATAATAACATTAACATTTAAGCACTGACTTATCACTCACTGTGATTTCTCTACAAGAATTTTACTTACTGGTTCTAATGATCTAAAAAGGAAGATGGGTTTTACAGCTGCACTCAGTCGATTTCTCTGCTCATCTGACTTTGGATGAACAATCTATAAAATAAAAAAACAATTTCTCAAGTTGTTATAACAAGCTCCCTGCATTATGTGATAATAGGAGCATTTGGCTGGACTTGAGACGACAACAGCATTGTTTATATCATATGACACTTTGATTTCCTGTTTGGAAGTAGACCTTTGGGTATAGAAGCATCAATCTTCGGCTAACTTGATGGAAAGCTTCCCCACATGATCATCAATGGTTGTTTTTTTTATGTCACTAATGACGTATGTAGCAGGCACACTACACTTTGACAATAGTTACTTTACATTTTACAAGCTTCCAACTCGGGGCAGTTAGCAAAAAAACTTGCTTCCTTGCAAATAAATGATGAAAAATCATAATGTTTTGCATACCATCTGATAATGTCATGTATTTTAAAGATCATATAATTATGGTATACAATGTAGATGGAAGAAAGTTACCTTTTGGTTCCCCTCCTCTTCGTCTGCCTCCGGGTCATACCTTTCTGCCGATACTGAAATAGAAGTCAAACACCATTACCTAAAAATCTTGTTTAACTCTGAAAAAACTATTAAAAATATCATAAAATGTTCTATATGTTGGTGCCTTTTTCAAAATACAAGTAAGGCCAGATCACAACAGGAAAATGGAACAAAAGGCCCAAACACGGCTTAAGTTATCTCTTAAATTACATGTAGTTTCTTTTATTTTAGCTGTGAGCATCAGATTTGTAATCCAGGGGTCACTGGTTTGATCCTAAAGTGAAGCAAATTGCTCTGTGACATAGGTGTCTGACATTGAGTCTAACTGAGTCTAATGGGCGTATGACCCTCATCTTACAAATGATTCAGAAATCATGTGGGGATCAGTAGTTATTTGCCAATAAATTGGTAACTACTGGTCAGTTATCTAGGAAAGTCAGTTAGGTGGACTGACTGCCAAGATATGACCCAAAATGTATTGAAGCTGGCATAGAAAACCAAGATAAACAAACAAAAGAAGCTTGCCAACAGGATAAAGCAGACTATAGTAGTCTTTACATTCTTGCAATCTGACTTTTATATTGTTTGATGCTCATATTTATCATTGTGATGGTATATTTAAATACCTCAAACATAAAACTAAATTCAAAAGCCAAATTATTCAGTTTTGGTGGGCTAAACATATAGCATGAATGCTAGAGAGATAGAGAATATATGCACAGCTCTGCCAGACTCTAGTTCAAAGGTGTATGACTAGGCTTTCCAGACATTTAGTGATTTTAGAGGCTGGACCATTTAAATTCCAAAAATCAAAATTAACACTCTTCTTGTGATAAGTATAGTTATTTAATGTGAAAAAGGACTGGTGCTTAAAACAAAAAAGGAAATATACCTGATTTTCTTCTTGCAAATCTGGTTGGTGGGGGTTCTGAAAATAGAGAAAAAACCAATTATGCTCAAATGTCTTTAACAACACTTCCAGGAAATAAACTGTTAGGTTTTTTTATAAACCAATCTATGTTAATGACTAAATCATACTTCCCGAAATACCACTCACACAAAAAACTGCTCTTTTCACACATTTTTCTCTGAAATTGTTTGCCAAATAGACATGTATGCTAATTGCTGCAGTTGTTGAAAATAAAGAAAATCTGCATACTGACAGCATTTGTTTCTTGTGTTCATAACCAGTCCAACGTAATTAAAGTAGTGTTGTAATTTAACATCAGTTATCATCACACACAATTGCACACACACAATTGCAGGACGGCCCATGTATCAAGTTGGTCTACTAACACTGTATCTAAAATTGCATCAATCAAACATAGTACAGTATCATATATATATATATATACACACATTATCATATGTAATACAACCTTACTCTAACAATGTAATACATAATGCATAATCTGAGGCTGGATCAAGGAAAATTTGTCTTTGAATTATAAAATAAATGTTAAAGATACATGATATCGCTGAAAAAGAGTATCGCAAAGTACATGTGAATTTGTTATATTACAGTAACGTGGCATCTTGGGAGACAAACTTTCGCGAACGGGCACCCGGCGATCACTGAATTTAGTTGCTACGGCCTCACATGAAAGGGACTAACTTTTGATGAGACCGTGCTTAGTTACGGACCTTATAATTATTAAATTATTTTTTACAATCCGCATTAAAGGTTATGTTACAATACAATACTTGTTAAATTTATATAACTATTAACACTTGACTAGTTCGGAACCACAGACACTCTGTATATTTCCAAAGGCCATTTTTTCAATTTGTTAAGAAAAAGATTTGAAAATCAACACATTTATAACTTTTATATCATCCAAACTTTAATTCTATAACTGACTTGCTTAATTTATCAAAATGCAATTGATATTTTCTTTTTCAGCGTGCAAACTAGTATCAATAACATACTAAATTAATTCTTTACACATTTCTATAGCACCTGTGTTTATATGTCTTTTTGTGTAAGTATATTATAATAAATATTCTGCACGTTATATTTGGTTGAAGCTAGAAATGTTCGCGGATTTGTTATAAGTGACATATTCGCGGCTATAAAGATTCGCGGAATCATGCCTACCGCGAAAAGCGCTAACTTAAAACGCGCAAAATCTTTTCTAGGAATAAAGTAACTTAGATACAATGCAATATGTGAAAAAAGAGGTATCAGCAAACTACATGTGATATTTGATTATTTATAGTAAAGTGTGACTGGTGGAGGAAGACCACATGCATTATTTCAGGCATGAACGGGCACCCGAGCAGACTCACTGATATTTTGTTAGCTAGCTGGATAGCTTCCTCACATGAAAGGGACTCAAACCCATAGCAGTGAGGAGCAAGTGGCTTAAAGTTAACGACCTTATAATCTTTAAAATATTTCAAGATAAATAAATAATACCCAGCAAAAAATTAAAGATGTTATGTAAAAGAAAATAAACTGCTGATTACAATAATTAAATAAATCAAATACTTTAACAAACTGACTGCTAGTTACAGAGTATACCAACACACATGTAAATTCAAACAAAGGCTTTTTGCCATTTTCTTTCAATTTGTTTAAGAAAAATGCATTTTGAAAATCATTAAAATCACATTCTGAACATAACCAGTAATAGAGAATTAATGAAAATCATCCAAAAACAATTTATCTGGCTATTAGGATTGCTTGTTACTTTATGCCATTAATTTATAATTGGCAGAAATGCAATTATTTTTATGGCATAAAAATCCATCAGGAAATGGTGTAACATTATCAATAAATGTATTTTGTCCCAACAACAAAAAAAAGCAAACAAAGTTTCCTGCTGCAGGCAAATGTTGCTTAATTCTACAATTTCTGAAAGCATCTTTCTTCACAAATCAATTTGCATGTCACTATCAGGAAAAGGAAAAATTAACACAAGGAGAAAAGAGTAACATTCTTTTTCCTCAAATAAAACTCTGGTTATTTTTTTTCTTACACTAAGAAAATATAACTTTTAACATGGAAATCATTAATAGATCTTTGAAAGATTCTATGATTAAATTAATGAAGTCAAATTCCAGATAAGGATTGTTTTTGCAGATTTTTTTCATAAAACTATTTATTTCAATGAGCTGGCATATATTGTCTGAATATTACAGTCAATAAGTTGTGTTACCTTCACTTTTAACTGAATTACAGTTTTTGTAATTCTTATGTTTGTAGTGCCTAGACATCCCTCAAAATTAGAATCTAAAGACTAGATTGGTTCAAGGACATGTACATGTAGCATTTAATGTTAACATTCTATAAATTTTAATTATTTACAGTTTAAAATTGTTTTTTATTTATATGTTCAGAATTTAGCACTTAATTGGTTCACATTTTTATGGTTATCATAAAAATCTTCTACATCTTACAATAAGCCACTGGACTTTTATGCAAGAAATTATATTTTTAAAACAATAGAAAATGATGTTAAAACAAGTAAATGTCACTCAAGTTCAAATAATCTAGCCTACACAACTATAGCATTTAACAGTTTATCAACACTATGATACTATCACAAGTAAATATTCTTTGCTTGTAATACTGCAAATTTGTAGATGAGAGATCACATGGAGATTGTATTCCAGGAAGACAAGATGTATGCAGCTGATAAAGTTGACAATAACTCAACGACACAGACAATCATAAAGAATACGCCAATGATGTAACAGACAATAAAACATAAGACTGGAATCTTTCCAGACTGCATCATTTAAATGTCATCACATAAAGATCTCTTTGACTTGTTCAACTTCTGAGATACTTACAATCATTTTAATCCCTCTTTTGTGATCTTCAATTCAATAACAGGAGAGGGTAATAATTTATCTCTAGTTTAAAGTAGAGACAGCATAATCATATTAGATGCAGAAATATTATTATCAGAGAGGACATTTTCAAGTGATTTGAGCCTCCTTGCATGTGATATCAACTAGACCTTTTAGTGCCAATTATAGTACCCATAGTTAATCATTATTAGCCTTTTCATAGCAACAACTCACAGTCATTAAGTCAATCAGAACTTCCATATATATGATGAGTACAGCAGTCAATCTCACTAATAGCTCTTAAAGCTTTACAATGACACTATAGCCACTTGTATATGAAGCAGGTTGCCACCAACTATCATTTCCTCTGTTTGTTGAGTAAAATGTTGTCAATAATGTCATACACAGAGTAATGTAGATAATTCTTCAAATCTTGTGCAACAATTTAATTCTTGTACACAACACAGTCTTGGAAAAACAGTACACAATACTGATCACCATTTTAATTACATAATAAGTCATATGGTACTTTATTATGCAAGACATTTAATTTGCTTACAGTCAAATTTACATAAATTTAAATGTGTTACATGTGGAATATGCACATTATAATTTTGAGGGTAATCACAGCTATAATTACCAACAACTAAAAAGAATTTTATCTGAATTGTAAGACTTATCATGTGACAAAAGCTGTTAGTTGTCCTAAATGTTATTTTTTCTTTTACTTTTTTTCAACACAAGAAATATTTCCAGTTTTCAAAATTGCCATTTATAAAAGATATATTGTGTATGTATAACAAAAAATAACTTCAATGAGACCATTAATCTCTTGCTCCAAGGCCAATCTAAATAAGGCACTTGAGCCAAATTATTGACACCATTTCACATAAAGTGGTTTTCCCCATCACAAGTGTCAGGAAGTTGTTTCATCCTATACTATAGATTGACAAGTAGACATTTAGTAAATATCCAGATACTGTAAACCTCCCCCCCCCCACAATATAGTTACCCTTCAATTTCAAACTAAAATCTCATTTGTTCTTCAAGCTTGATCCCTTCGATTTTTGCTTAGTAAAGATAGGAAGAATAATTGGTATTACAGTGTGGTTGAATCAAACCATCAATTACCAGTCCCTACTTAACAATCATTGTGTTTACTAACCAATAATGCCCTGAAACTGATTGCTTTCTGCTGTAATCAGTAGCAGCAAGCTTAAAGTTAAAGTAGTGCACTTTTCTACTGGTGCAGCTGAATGATAATTTGAAAATTAACTGTTAGATATTCAATATTGTCTTCAATAACTAATGGGCAAGTTGTTAAATTTTTAAAGGCATTAAATGTCAAGTGAAAAAGCTAAGAATCAGATCATCATGTATTTATTCTTCTAAAATTTTTTTACAGAAAGCAGGTATACTCAAATATACCACATATCTTAAAGCATTCATACCCACATATACCACTCATACCCACATATACCACATATCTTTAGACATTCATACCCACATATATCATATATCTTTATATATAGACATTCATACCCACATATACCATATAGCTTTAGACCTTCATACCCACATATACCACATATCTTTAGACATTCATACCCACATATACCAAATATCTTTAGACCTTCATACCCACATATACCACATATCTTTGGACATTCATACCCACATATATCATATATCTTTATATATAGACATTCATACCCACATATATCATATAGCTTTAGACCTTCATACCCACATACACCAGATATTTTTAGACCTTCATACCCACATACACCAGATATTTTTAGACCTTCATACCCACATATACCACATATCTTTAGACCTTCATACCCACATATACCAGATATTTTTAGACCTTCATACCCACATATACCACATATCTTTAGACCTTCATACCCACATATACCAGATATTTTTAGACCTTCATACCCACATATACCAGATATCTTTAGACCTTCATACCCACATATACCACATATCTTTAGACCTTCATACCCACATATACCATATATCTTTAGACCTTCATACCCACATATACCATATATCTTTGGACATTCATACCCACATATATCATATATCTTTGGACATTCATACCCACATATATCATATATCTTT